CTCGTTAAAAATCCGACTCGATCGCGATCCTTCCTAATTAACGGAACGGAGACTACAGTGTCGCGACTCCTCGCATTAAACCGTTCGCCGGGTATAGATTCTTCCAGGGAAATTGTTCGAACCATCGCGCGAAAGATCTCGTTAACTTCGTTTAATCGAAGCGGTTTCATTGTCGAAACGGAATCATAACAGGAAAAGGAGGAACGTCTTTGGATAAAATTCCAAGCATCCTTGTCACCCTCTATCTTCTCGTCGCTATCCAAAAGACCCGAGTTTCCGGCGCGGCGATCCTTCCCCCCTGGCGACGATAAGATTCGGGGAATGCCAGACGGCAAAGAGTAATGCGTTCTCCGGAGATGGGTAATCACGAAAAAATGTCCTCCTTCCCTTCCCTTGGAACCTCGCGACGTCTTTTGTACCGCTTTCGAACTTTCGCTTTTCTTTTTAATCTCTCCTCTTATTCCTCGTTTTTTTTCCCCGGCGCAAACCGCCGTAGGTTCGATTTTGGGGCATCCAGAAGATCGCTGAATTTTATTTACACTCGTCGCGACGCGGTAGCTTTCAAATTTCACTCATTGTCTTGCACACGGCTGACACGACGGTTTCCTCTCCCGATGGAAAGTTCGCGTAATAAAAGGAAAGCCCGAGCTCGGGGACATCGATCGGCGGACCTTCGCGTTCTTATTGTTTTCCTCGGCTGTCACACGCGAATCTCGGAGAAAGCATCTACGTACCGAAAACATTTCTTTCGACGTCCCAGAACGCCTACATTCGTAACCGAACATCTTCCACAAAAAAGAAGAAAAAAAAAAGAACCTCAAAAGTTATTTTCACAGGAAGAATCATAAAATCACCGGTGTATTTCACATTTCGTTATTATTCACTGCGTGCGAGGAAAGGAACGTTTCCGAAAGCCGTCTAAATCGGTTTCGCTTCTGACCGTTCTTACCAGAAGCGTTTATCGCCACGGACATCGAACGTAACGAATCGTGATTCGATCCAACTCCCTGGATAATCGAAAGAGGCATCCCGTCCTGAAGGTCTATCGTCGAAATTTCTTTCGGAGACGATGACTCTCCTCTCGGGAAATAACCCGAAGATCGTGACTACGCGACGCGTTGAAACAGGAAAAAACATCGCGGCAAGAAAAGAGAAACAAACGACGCTTCCGGCCTAGATACCGTGGTATCGATTATGGAAATTCCGCTCACCTTTTCCTTGCACTCCGGCTGAGAAAAATACGCGACGCCGGGTGAAATCGAGACAATTCGCTCTGGACAGAGAGAAACGCAAAGTACTATGTTGAAAAACAGCGACTTCTATGAAGACGTTTCAAAGTATCCTCTCGGTTCTAGCTGCGTAATATTCCGGGCATCAGCCTTTTTCTATCGGACGAATAGCAGAGAGGAATTCGCGGAATCTACCCTTCCGTATGTTCGGAATCGCGATATTATGTGATGCAAAGCGGCGACGAATACCAGCACCTTTCCCTGTCCATTGAATACGTCGCACGTTTTCTCGTTAGAAGAGTCGTTAATTGTAAAGCGTCAAAGTATTCGATTTCATTAATGAAGAGGTAGAGAAAGGGGAAAAATGAAGGAACAAGCGTCGTCCGGTGTCTCGACAGAGAAGTCGGAATTACCGTGGCACGAGGGTGGAAAAAAGCCAGCGAACGGGGGTGTGGGCTGGAGGGCGAGTGGCCAAGGGAAGTTCGAAAAATAAGAACAATCGCGCGAAAGCCAGCGGGTGTGTAACTAATGGCGGAATAGCCGCGACCTGCGAGGCAAAAGTGCCGCTCGTTGCCGGTGCACGGGATGCCACAAATTCTGTCCGGTGCCCATAAAGCCGGAGAAATGGGAACACGGCCAAAACAATCGCTACGACCTATCCCGTAGGACACTGCACCATTTCCGTATCCTCTACCGTATCGCGCGCCCAGTCTTCTTCTTTTCTCTAACCGAGAAACCATTGCTTTTTCTTACACGACGGAGCTTTCCGCTTTTTACCCTTTCCTCTTCCGTTCTCGTCCGAGAACCGCGAGGCAACGAAACCGGAGGACGCGAAGCTTGCGGACGATGAAATTAATGAAAAGCGTTCGACGATAGTCGCAAACGAGGGTGTGTAATTTAAAAAAAAAGAAAGTTGACAGATACAAATTAGCTCGAGTAATACTTGAACCTACTTTGCCTCGACGATTTACCGTTTGCCCGGGCTCGATACCCTGCCACGCCGAGTACAGCAAACGGTGAATGATTAATGCTCCCTTGCGAGGTAAATGAAATCTGAATCTCACCGATGACGAAGCTGTTCCACGTTCGTTCCAACGGCAACTCGCGAGCATTGTTCTCGCGCTTGTGAACGCGTTAAGCCAATCGAGGACGGAACGAGTCGACGACGTGCTTTCCATTAAATTACCATCGAATTGCTGAAAATTAAACAGCGGAAATATCGAGGCGTACCATTGAATTTGCGGGAAGGTTTTACATCGTTCCTGATACGAATCCTGTTTTTCCCTCGATGAACATAATCCGGTAGCGGCAGCGTGTTCGCTGAAAATTCATGAGGATCAAAGTTCGGCCGCGCACCACCCGGAGTGGATTTAATTATTAACCTCTCAAAGTCCTTTATACCCGGAACTTGGCGCGAATTTCCAGCTACGTTCCTTTCAACTTTCCCCACGTTTTTCTTTCTTTTTCGCGTATCCAATCTCGTTACCAACTTTGTTTCGAAACTCGTCAACGAATTTTCACGCGGGCCATTTGAACGCGAAGATCGATGATTATCGGGCAACAACGCGCGATGAAATGTTTCGAGGAAAAATCGAGCTTGTGTATGTGTATTACAGACAGGTTTTGGCAGCCGATACAAAGAGGAAACCCTATTGGAATCCAGCGACTAGCGGCGGATTCTGGACGGGGTCCAAGCTGGTTATCCGCGACCGATGGTCGCTGGAAGGGTGCGAACGAAGCAAGGGGCGAAAGAACAGGGTGCGCCAGCGTGAACGAAGAGAAAACGACGACAGCTCGACGATCCGCAGTCGGACAGCGTCGGGAAGATAGGGTTAAGCCCACGACGGGACAGATAACATCGAGCACCTAAACTTCCCCTCGAACTGGACGGATCCGGTCTCCGGCATCGAGCAACCCCTTCCTTTCCCTTTCCTCCAACCAGATCCACCAGCGGAGAAGCCCAAGTTAACTATAACTACCGTACGACAAACTCCTCGTGGCACAGTTATGGGTAAATGCAACCCCCTGAAGCCCCTTTTCGCTTCCCTCCGTAAGCCGGTCTACCTTCGAGGCTCTCGGTAACGAGCCAGAGAGGGTAAACCGTTGAAATTGGTCAACACGGGGTTAAGTTCGACGTCCCGGCCAATAAACTCGGTCTCGCTGATTAAATTGTTCGCGGCGACGGATTCCGCTTCGAGAATCCACCCGTGTTGGTCGCAATTGAGATCGTCACGAGAAGATACGCGGAATCGTCGTTCGGAAACCGTAGCGACGCGTTTATCAGAATTTCGATGTCCTACCGGTTTCTTGATAAAACATTCCACTCGTCGGAACTAAGAACGAATCGGAACTTTAGCAATTCGCGAAACTAAACACCGAGGAACCTTTCAACTTTTCCACCTAACACTTTCGAACATCAGATATACTCTTAGTCAGGAAGAAATAAATGTTAAACTTTTCAAACGATAACGATCCGACGTTTTATCCTGGCTCGTTTTCACCCCGAGGCGAGTCGTTGCACCGTTTGATCGCGCGAAATCGATTGGTCGTTAAACGGCAAAGACAAAAGACTCGCCGCGAGCCGCGTGGGACTTTTCGGCGAATTTCCACGGCCGAAAACGATAAGTTGAACGAGTAACGAGGCTAACGGTAACTCGATTGTTCTCGTTTGCCGACGTAGACGGAGACAGAGGCTCGCCGAGTGGCAGCCAAGTGAAATTGAATTTTTCCCCGGAAATTTGCCGGGGATATAATTTTGTGGAGAACAATTAACGTTCAAAAGGCTTCTTATCCGTGCGTCGAACGATGGAATTGCTGGCAGACCAGCTGAACAGCCCGCTGGGCGTTAAGGCAGCGGATATTTGGAGGATAATGTGGGATAAAACGGGATACCTACTGGCAAGCAAATAATTCTCCTCCTGCTATTTGCTCGAGTTATTTGATTCTCGTTTCAGTAGTTTCCCGGATTCGAGCTCGACGTTCGGGCAATAAATTCGGCGATGCTGGTTTGCGCTAGTATACCACCGACCTTATCTTTATTAACACTAACCCCTTTCGCTATCGCTCCAGTTCAAGTGAAATAACTTCATCTTCTGTCTTAATCTATTAACCCTTTCACTGCTACGGACGCACATATGGGTCCATAGTTTCTTTCTTGGATATCTTAGTCATAATCAAATAAAAGATAACAGATTATAAAATAATGAAAAAATTAATTGAGAAATGAAGAGAAATAAAAAGGGTTAATACCATTCGACGACTGTAGAGAAGGGATGAAACGAACTTAAATCAAGGAGAAAATTTCGCTGCGAAACGGGGATGAAAAAATGCGAATTCGAATGGAAAATTTGTCAGCCGGTTATAGCGTGGGTGGAGAAATAAATTTCGAAAATTTACGGTTTCATCGGCGCGTTTCTGTGACGATTCGACGGAAACTTGGCCACGGAAGGTTCCTCGCCACTTCCGGTCCACTGAATGGAGACTCGGAATTTCCTCTTGGCCGTGGAGAGACGCGATCTTAACGCGACTCGGTTCCTCGCCGGGGAAGATTTACGCTCGCAACTCGTTCCCGATGTCGAGAGTTTCTGCTTCCGGCTGCGACGGAACTTTTGCAATTGCGCGCGCTATTCAAGTTCCTTTTTTTTTCCCCTCGTTTTTTTTTTTTTTCAAATAGCCGGCAGCTACGTATTAACGCTCTCGCCCATCTAGCGACCGAAGCCGCGAGTAAATCGCGCGGCTGAACTTGCTGAATTTACTGGGAAACTTGCTTACCGTAACCGACCTCCTCGCCTAACTAGCCGACGCTTTTCGACTCTGCCTTTCTGCTTAATCTCGTCCACATTCTCTTCTCTCCACTTTCCTGTAATAAACCGACATCTTTTTAATTCTTTCTCTTGAGAAACGCTAAAGCCACGGCGCAGGATTACCAACCTTCCCCGGGATCCTGCCGCGAGCATCGTTTAAAGTAAAAACAATTTGTAAGGATAAAGAGGTACGCGCAAATTGTATTTACACGATCGTGCGAAAACATTTTTCCCTTCGGTCAACGCGTTACACCCGAATCGCTGTACTTTCCTCGTTTCTTCTTAACGCTTTGCAAGAGAAACTTATTAAATTTCCACCGGCGTTTCTTCGTTTTACGTTGGAAACTTTTGAAAAAATTCACTTTCCCGGATAATTATTCGATCGAAACTTTCGTAAATGATCGAACTCAAAGGAGGAACAAAAAAAACCTTCGACTGGGAATATGTATTTAATATATTTCCGGTTATTTTCAATCGTGGAAAATCGAAGGAAAACGAAACTTCCGTGCCGTCCTCGAAAAGAAGGATCGTTAAGGGATAACCGAAAAGAGGAACGTGCAAATGGAAACTCGATAGTTACAAAGGCAGAGAGTTGCGGTGTTCGAGGATGCCTACGTTTAAGTTTTCATCCCGTTATGCTAAACTCTAATCATTACGGAAATTCGTATCAAAGTTCTCTGGCCATTAGTACCGGTACACGTATCTCTCTCTGCTGGTACATGATCATTCTCCTCCAATGGTTACTCAAATTCGTTGCTGCATTACGGGTATCCAAACCAACTGGAATGGAAACTAGTTGTTTTGCTGTTCGAAATTGCCATCTAATTTTCTCCATTCGTTCCTCTCGAGCCACGTTTTTAACGCGAGACTCAGAATTTAAATTATTAATCAGTGATTGCGAGTCAATACGTCGTCTCGTCAAAGTGCCACCCTTCCTCTGTCGTAATTAGTTTATTGATAACAGTACCACTGGGTCGTTCCGTCGGTCGACCGTCTTTGACAGACGAGGGACGCTTACAATTCCCGTTACAGAGTATTAGTCGAACATATCAGACACGGGACGCGTGAGGTGAATATAAAATCACCTTTTGTCCTAGAAGTTACCTCGAAATGTAGCAGCCAGTTCCCTTTGGTGTCCAAGGGTGAAATTAATATGAAAAAGCGCAGAATAAAGATAGACAGAGCTGGAGTAACTTGGCAGCTACCTGTTTCCTTCGCGTTTCTCTTTTCACTAGGTAGCGTGCAGCATAGAAAATGAGCTTCATTGAAAATTCAAACAGGTTCTCTTAACGGAATGAAAGCATACGACGAACGAAGAGCGGGAATATGGAGGAAAATACACTTCGGCTCCGTTTTCTTCGATGGAAGAACCGAAAGGTGTCTATAAACGAGCGGACATATTGTAGGAATTTATTTCGTTACGTCGTTGCAACGCGACGTAAACAGGCGTTTATAGGGCAGCTAGAACACGGTCAATAGACTAGACAGCAGTCGACTAGGAATACGTGATTTTTTCCGAAGCTATCGAGACTGTGAATCCCGATGAAATTTGAATCGCCCTGGCCATTGATAAGATTAAAGGCCCCGAGGGATCGAATGAAAGAGCAAGAATTAGAAGGCGGAAATAATCGGTCGAACGAAGGTAGCAGGAATCGTTAGGTGCATTCGTAAATGAATGCAACTTAAATGCACCGTGCAAACGTTTCAATCGTCCTGACGGCAAAAAGCAGAAGGAACAGGTATGTGGTAGTAAATCTGTTAACGAGAAATGAAATCAACGAGCGGTCTTCCTTTGAAAATCCTCGGAAAAGCGGAAAGCTCCCGTAAACGTGTGCAAGTTGGCTGCAACGTTTCCGAGTTGCACGCGATGCAGCTGTTGCACCGGATCGTGACAAGTAGCCATCGACTGGGTGGACAAGTAGCCTCATTATTCCATTCCGAAGGGCAGTCCAGCTATTTCCACCCTTCGTTTTTATACGTTGACCAGGTGAAACGCGATTCGCGAAAGAGGCAATCTCGCAAGCGGCCCGCGTCAGTCCCCCGATTGCTCCAGGTTCGTTCAAATTAAACAGGCCATTAGGCTGTAAACAGCGTCGTTAAACATCGATTATCGGCGACCGCTGCGGACCAGATAACGCGGAAATAATGAAGCCTCGGGTAAGATTAACCCATTGTCTAACCCCTGGAGGCGTATTACGCGAATCGGACGGATCCTCTTTATTCCTTGCTCCGCGGATTTAATCGAATGATTTATAACAACAACGTTGATACTCGGATCGCGTTAAATTCTCAGTATCTCAAAAGGAGATACGATTTACTTGGAGGATGAACCGTTTCTAGGCTGGATCGTCAACTGTTGCGCTCTTTTTCGCCATTTCGATTCCTTTAACGACTTTAACCCGCACCTTCAACCCGTTACTACTTCTCCATCGCGAATGATACACAATTAAACGTTCGCAGCTCTCCGCAGTTTCGTCTCTATCAGATCGTACGAATGAAAGAAGGATAATCCTCGGAGAATGGAGTTACCCTTTTTTCTTTCTATCTTCTTTTCGCTCGGTGTTTCGCCGTTACCAAGAGTGCCATAATCATTATGAAACACCGACACAAAATCTTCCACTTTGCACGCTGTTTTGTATAGCTTAACGAGAAGCTCGATAATTCATTACAGTATGTTTGCCGCTGCAACGACAAGCTTTTCTCTTTATTAAAAGCCCCTCGTCGCGTCGAGCGCAACAATGCCAGATGATAACGACTCTCGCTCGATGCCGAGACAGCTAATTTACTCTCGGTTTTTCCGAGCCTTCGTTATCGAAATCAGAATGGAAAGCGTAACTTTGATTTTCGTGCAAGGGGGGGGACGCAAAGGTGGAATGAATTTTCTCGGTCCGCGCTTCGATTCTCGGCAGTTTCTTTCACCCGGGAAACTAAATTCATTATCGGATGCTCGATGATTCGGAAACTAGGCTAACCTAGTCTGCGCGTCATCCACGAAATCGGCAAATTTTCGCGAGTTAAGGCCTTAATCACCATCGACCGAGCGTTGCTTCGAATTCGCCAGTTAGCACAAGTTTGCGGGTTTCGCGTTTTAAGGAGAACCACCGAGAGCTAGAAACGCGAGCGACGCATAGAATGCGTTCTTCCGCGCGAATTATTACGAAACTAGGAAACGCGTCGAACGTTTAACAAGAAGGAACACGCGTTAACTTGATACATTAATTGGCAGAGGAGGAAGGAAAATCTAGTTGAATCTGTATAAAAAGAAGTCTCTCCAGTCTCGGCGTGGTCGCGCGAAAGACTTGATCTACTTCTTCGTTTCTCTGCTTAATTAGACGCACAATGTGGTTACTTCTTTCTACCGAGTCGTTTGAGTGTCGTCTGTCCAAGAGCGTGCCTTTTGCAGCACCCTTTCCCCTTTGTCCAACCTTTTTCTCCATCCTTTTGTCGAACCAGCCTCGTTATTCTCTTTCTTTAAATTAATTTCAATTTGCTCAGCAAAAACGATCGATTTTCGAGGCAAACAAAATTGTACGAATATTCAGTCATATTTCCTCGATGATCCATCGTTTGTCAACTCGTCAAATTTCGTGAAAAACAATATGAAACTACGTGTAACGCAACGCGAGAGAACTGTCGTTCGAACAGGTTCGAGTATGTTGTCAACGAAAAAGGTTACATCGCGTTATCGCGTTCGTACTCGTTCAGTTTGATTAACACGAACTGCTATCCCCCTTTTCTCCTCCGCCCGCGAGCACCACCTTTGCCAGCTTTATTTGCTTCGCCCCAATTTTCCTCGTAACGAGTCCACTTTCCGTTTCAACAACGTCGTAATTGAGTAGCGCGAACCCGTACCGGCTTAATCATCGAAAGCGCGAATTATAAATAATAAACCACCCGTTCTATATATATAAGGGATTCTAAGGTGGTTCATCGAAAGACGGGATTAAAGGAGATCGAAGATAAGCACGGACGAGTTTACAGATCTCTTTGGTCGCTGCAACCAGTCGTTTCGATTCAATTGGAAGAGGGTAGCTGAAAGTGGACGCGCACAGAAGCGACGACTCGATAGAAAATCGAGAAGAAGAGGAAAAAGAAAGGGTTGTGCAATACCCTAGCCGTTGGCCTCTACCATCTTCCTCCGTGGCTTAAACCGACGAGCGAAATTTGTTTATGCAAATTTTAATTGCAGCCCCGGGCATAACTCCTAATTCCGTTGAAATTAATACAAATTGCCTTCTCCCGACGATTACTCGCTTCTCTTACTTCGAGCGCTCAGCCAACCCTACCGCAACGTCCTAACCCCACGACAGATTTTTATGAAGCCACTTTTTTTCTATCCCCGTTTTGCTCTTCTTTACCCCCTGCTGTTGTCTCTCGCCTCGAGGAAAAAAAAACACACGCACAAACGATCCTCGGCTTTTTCTCCCCGTTCATTCCGACTAATCACGCAGCTTGCCCGAGCAAATCCTCGAACTTCGGCTCGATTCGTCTAGGATAAACGTTGCGCTCGATTCGAGGGAGAACCGTGTCAAGCAGTGCTCCACTTTCGTCACAATGCGAAGGCAAAACAACGCAAGGAACAGGGTGGAGAAAAAAAATAAAGGAGAACGAGGTGCGCTTGAAAAATCGTCTCCCCTTAGTTGTACGATTTTTCCAAGAACGCTCGCGAGAAAGACACCCTGAAGCACAATTTCTGTTTTCGAAACGCGTTTTCAATAGTAGTCAGCACGTTTGCGCACACATGCGTTCGCACACTTTTCTATGCACACACACACACACACACACACAGAGGTGCAGGATGCGACACGCGAGACGCCATGAACTTTTTGCCGGCACGCATTCAATTTTTATCGAAAACGCTTCGCTCGTGATGCGAATTCATTTATCGAAAGGATTTAAATCGCCGCACGAGAGCGTCGTTATGAAATATCCAGTATCAGCGAAACGTAAAACTGCCAACCGTGTGTACCGACATTTTTCCTATCTCTTTTTTTTTTCGTTTTTATAAAAATTATTTCGAAAACAATGAGAATTATCGGGCGTTTCGCTTTTTATC